ATTGCAACATTAAGAGTCCTTGGAGCCTAGACATTCTAAAAGAACTGCAAAGGACATTTCTAATCTCACAGTTTACTAGATATTTAAATTACAATCACTCTGGTGTTTGAAAAAATATTTTTGGATGGTAAATATAAATAATTCTTGAGCGTCTGTTTGAAATATGAACAAAATTAACATTGCTCTTATGGCGGGCAAATCCAAGATGGCCGTTAAGTTCCATGGACTCCCTTGGAGAACAATTATAAACCACCAAGAACATTTCTAATCCCACAGTATACCAGATATTTAAATTATAATCACTCTGGTGTTTGAAAAAATATTTTTGGATGGTAAATATAAATAATTCTTGAGCGTCTGTTTGAAATATGAACAAAATTAACATTGCTCTTATGGCGGGCAAATCCAAGATGGCCGTTAAGTTCCATGGACTCCCTTGGAGAACAATTATAAACCACCAAGAACATTTCTAATCCCACAGTATACCAGATATTTAAATTATAATCACTCTGGTGTTTGAAAACATATTTTTGGACAATAAATAACTCTTCAGCAGCTGTTTGTAATCATCCAAGATGTCTGCTCCTCCAAGGACTCTTAAGGAAAAGTTCAATCCTGCCTCAGTATTAAGTTGTGTTAACTCATAGTACAAAGAAGTAAGATACAGAGGAAACATTCAATGGTAAACTTAAGTGGTGTCTAGAACCAGTCGCTGGTGTCTAGAGCAAATTCTATTCATTGTCCCCTTATGCTCCCCTTTCCCCCTTGCCATCACGTACTACAGCGCTTACACTGTAAGATGACTCTGTCCCTACAACTGCTGTACAAAAATGAAGGACTTCGCCCTTCAGGCTTTTTCATGCTCAGTACAAGTACATTTCCGCCCCATTATAACAGAGCTAAAAGCACACGGTTGTCCCATAAGCTGTATCCTCTGAATCTTGTTTCTCTGTGCTCATAGAGTTCCCGGGAGCTTAACTAAAATGACAGGAAACAGCTTGGGTGGTAGTTGACATCAAGGGTGGATTTCTAAACAATCTTTAAACTTTTAAACCAGTATTATCATTGTGACCGGGGAGCGAGCTGGTCTAGTGGCTAAAGCGCAGAAGTTTGGTTCCAGGTTAAAATCCTGCCAAATCACCATTGGATTTTATCTAAGTGATGATGCCGCAGCCTCTAGGTCTTGCCTGAAGAAATGTGAAAAACAATCCTGGGCTCGTGCCTATCATCCAAGGACAAAAAAAATTATCACTGTGCAGTTTTAAATTAAGTTAGTCTTTACTTATTTAATCCACAAGATGTAGACAAACAACACAAATCAATCTTAATCTAGGTTAGCTCATCATTCAAATTTTCTAACTATGGAGCAGATAGTCAATGGAGTTGCCTTGGTGCTTGAGAAGTGATTGCTTAGTGTAACTCATGTCCTTAAATGCTTTACCATCTTCAACTTGGCCCTATTTTAAATCTATAAATCACTGTCATGGACAGGTCTTGAGAGATCAGTCAGTGTTAACGTCATAAGTAGAAAATTTAAGGTACGAGCCTTGGCGAGTGCCATAAAACTTCTACGAGTGTCGTTAACACTATTTATGCAAGTTGCTTACAGTGCTTAAGTGGTTCCTACAACCAGTTTTAATGACAAAAAATCACTACTCATAACTTCTAAGAGAGGTTATGTTTTCGTTTATAACCTCTCATTGCCACTGACATTGATGCATCGACTCATTGTACCAATCACCAATTACCCCAATAGTTAACAATTAAATTGGTAAACAGCTGATTTATTTTAGCTGAAGTTTAAAGCATTACAATTTTACTCCTTCTCTCTCAATCCTTGAACCTCATAGGTCCTTTAACCGTTGTAAAGTAAAACTATGCTGTTATGTAAGTAAACAATGCTGTTATATGAATATTTTCAGTCCAAAGAACTGAACTGAAACGGCTACTTTAAAAAAACGGTCATAGGTAAAACCTTTTGGCTGTGAATAATTTGTTTTTCCTAGTGTCGGTCTTGGAAAAAGCTATTAAGATATTTATTTTACTTTTGTTTGTGGAACAGCTATGTTAAACTCTTTCTACACATTAGTATGAATCCCAATACATAATAATTCTGTTTTAGAATAATTTAGTTTAAAATAAAGTACAGTACTAATGTTTGGGATTACCAAATTGATAACTTATAGTATTAGGCCTACTGTATAAAAACGTGTCAGGTTTTTTTTAACAGTTATTCAGTAATTAAATTCTTATACATTTTGAATGTTATGTTTGGGAAAAACTTTTTCTTGTTTGATATTAAAATTTTTGTGGTTATTTTGGTGGTTATTTGACTTTTAAGGCTATGAGCACTGAAAATCAATACTATGTTGGTTTATTAATTCTAATTTGTAAGAAGAAGCAGAGTATGAATTATAATGAGTGTAAACTCAAATTAAGAGTAAGAGTAGTTGAGTTCTTCCACTACTGTTTGATAATGTTTTAATCAGTATTACAAAATGTGTTTAATTTTAAAATGTGTCTGTAATACTATTATTAGATAATTACAAACATGTTTAAATCGCTCCTTTATCAACATAATTCATATCTAGCGACAATAATATCTTAGGTAGTGCTATTATAAAAAAGAGAGTCACAATTAAGCAGTAAGGACTATAGTTTACCCTCACTGATATAAATTTTAAGAGGGGCTCTAAAACAATGTAACCCTCTTTGTACCACATGATAAATTAAAATTATCTTAGGGTCTAGAGAGTTTTTATAATTAAGGTCAGGGTTACAGTAAATTTTAAATTTCACGATTTAACCTACATATTACCGTCTAAGTTCAGTAAAAATAAATTATCTTTATTTTCACTTATACAAAGAAATCAGTGTTTTGAACAAATTTAAAAGATTTGCACTAGGGGAGAATCAGCTTCAAATCAGGTAATACAAATAGCATTAGAAGCCGTTGAAACCCAGCACAGGCAGTATAATCCAGTTTAGTACAATGGCAACTATTTTTACATTCACACACTCATAAATTACTTCATAGTTTTTATCCAAAAAGTTTTTTTCATGGTACAGTTACACTAATGATCTACTGGTTAACATTGAGTAAAATTAAGTACAATATAAGTCAAACCATAAATCTTCCCTATGCAAGAGAAATAACACGTTCAAAACTGGTTCTTTCTCTATAGTTTTGTTCCTCAAATTAATTAACAACAGTCTTAGAATTCATTATTAAAGATAAAACCTGAAAGGTTCATTTATATAGTCCAATTTGGCTGATCCGGAGTTTTTAGTGTGAAACGTCCGTGCTGGTGGACCTGGTACAAATCTTGCCAAACACCTCTTCATGACCTGTCTATAAACAAAGCAACGAAAGATCCCTCGAGTGAGGAGAATAATCCAACACTGAACGACTGAACGCTGTGTAGATGGTAAGAAATGTTTTGAAATGGACTTTCCACATGTTAATAAGGTTTCAGCATTAGTAAAAAACTATCCTGAAGCAAAACATTAGCCTCCTTCCTAAAATATGTATTTATGCTATATCATAGTTCCTTGACAATAATTACTGCATTTTTCCCCTTTCAAAATTTTTTTATTGGTTTTACTCCAGGCCATTTCCAATTAACTAATATGAATTGTTGAAACTGAAGGCTGGAGGAGATACTAGTTAATCGGAAAAGAAAATACATGATTTGTTTTCAGTAAACTTTTAACAACTTTCACACCAGAAAATTAAAAGGAATATTTTTTTCTTACAGTCACCCGTCAAAGTGGGCTTCCTTGCACAGATTATAGTACAGAAAGCCTTACTTTGGCCCACAGTTTTTACTTTGGTGCACAGTTTTTACTTTGGCGCACACCAGTATTCCAACCAAACAACATAAATCAAGCACGTAACCTGTGTATGCTTGAAAATAAGTTTGCAGCACTTAAAGATATTACGACTACGATTAGCAGGTGCAGAGTTTCCCATTTCATTCAATGTTTGGATTTAACCTAACCGAAAACGTGTTGTACAGTGTTTGAAAGACTAATTATCTATATGATTTATAGTAACTGTATGACAAATAAAATGTGTAACACAAGTGCAAATTGCCTTTGCTGCACTCGAGAAACTTTCCACACTTGCCTATGGCTTGTGCGTAAACATTTCTCTCGTGTGCAGCAAAGTGCCACTTCGCCCAATAGTTACACAAATAACTATTCCCCGTATCTCAAAAATGAACCCCTCTACTTTGAAACTTAGTAGTTCCATAAATAGAAAATAACCTTGCTGTACTGCAGGTATATTTTTACGAAAGAGTATTGTTTTTTTTGTTTTTTTTTTACAGTAAAACTTTTACGTAGGAAAGTTAAATTGTTTGTCACTCCAGACTTGAAAACGTGATTAGACACCAGAAATCAGTCCATTATGAATCAATATGACAAAAAGTAGGTTTAAGATACTGTATAGCAATATACAACTCCCGATTCATACAGAATTACATAACTTAAACTTGGTGATCCACTTTCCACTTCCAGATGATTTTTACACTGGAAGAAAAGCAGCTCACAGAAGACCCTTATAAATCACAGGAATCTTATAGCGGGTTGTCAAAATTTGACCATTCTTATTGTAACACCCTGTAAATGGCTGTATTTTATTTCATTAGTCACCAAGTCATCAAATACAGTCATAGTTTTGCTCTGGCTAAATATTTGACAGTGCAAGGTTCTAATTTAAAGTGAATTGCTTGATAATCCCATGTTCTTAGGCTTCAAGAAAACATTTGTTAAATAATACAGTAATGTTTCATACCCATACATATATTTTTTTAGGAATATAAATAATGTTATTTTCTTATATTATCCATATTTTTAAGAGGAACATAATTTCAGGTAATTCACAAGCCAAACAAGTCTAATCATCCTTACAATACACTCCACTGACTAAAGGATGAAAATAACAGCCGTTAAATTCAGCCATATTTTATTCATCTTAAGGTGAAAAACATAACCACTTTCAGAAAAATTGGTATATATTTTTGTTGACAAGAAGTTGATTTACAAATTACCTAAATGTCAAAGACAAGCCGTTTCACATACATACGTACAACAATTTACAAGAAAAAAAGCTTGTGTCCAGACGGGGGACCCGACCTTCGTTAACCTTATTGGATCCACCTCAAGCGTCCACATCACACCGGACACATACATATAGCTGTGAACAACGACATTCAGAAGTCTTCTTTATACAGATAACATAATATGTTTCAAGAGGTTGACAAGTTAAAAAAAAAACAAAAAACACTTGTTTCGTCGCCATAAGGCGGGTGAGTCCGACCGTTCGCCTGAAACTGGTCTCGGAACGGTCCTAACAGGCCTCCTTCGGGTAGGTAAACACGATTACTTTATTATCACAGAAAAATTATTCCACGCGAAACCGTTCTGCTCGGTTTCCGGACACACAACTTAATCGATCGGGACTGTGAGAAAAGAAGACGAAACGAACGAACAGAAGATGACGATCAAAGCAGGCCTATGAGAACGGATAACCGGAATCGAAACCCGGATATAAGTTTGCCAGCAAACCGATTGTTAAAGCCGAGGAAACTGGTTTATCGTACACGACAAACCGGTTTCACAATAGGCAGATATCAAGTTTACTGTTTCTTGGAACCGGTTATGAGAACCAACGAGCCGGTTTCGCTAGTGTACGCCGCCATGGTAACGATGATTTCCACAGACTACACCAGGTTGTACTCCTTCAAGTTTGACTGGAGAATGGTGTCCTTGACTGCAGCAAACACGAAGCGGATGTTCTCAGTATCTGAAAAATTGAGCCTCGAGTCAATTCAGTAATCCAAAGGATAATTACAACACACTGACTTCTAGCCATCAATCAAACAAGCTAGAGTGCTAAAGTATTTTGAATGCTTACATTTGATTGAAACAAATTGATTCACAATAGTCGTAGATGAGCAGAAGAAATGAAAAATAAAAGGTGACCAAGAATAAGTGGATCCTGGATGAGGAGAATGCTAGGACAACTTTGAGGATAGGAGCAAGGAGCAGGAAACAAAGAGGACTGAAGTTAAAAAGTGAAGGCCAATGTTTATAGTAAGCTGCAAGTTAGAGGGTAAGATGAGACATTGATATTATTTACTATCCGGATCTTGAGAGTAGACCTTACATAAAATCAGAAAATGAAAATATAGTACTGGCAACAGTGAAACAATATTGATCTAATTGTCAAATGAACTAATACCTCCTTCATTGTACAACGTGATTGTATCCATTTTTTACCCCAAACTGTTTGAAATCAGTAAAGGTTTCAGATTTTAACACTAAGATTTTGTTCTAAAATATTTTAGGTTAGAGCTTAACTCTCTTTATAAAGTATTCTGCTGTTTTGGCAACTATTATAATATCAGTATGAAAAATTGATTAATTCTATAGGGTTGATTTTGTTGTAGTTAGCCGAGCACTAATTAAATACATTTATTTTTGTTGGACACACAGTGTTTGTTTGAATATTTTACGACTCAATCGAAATCTTAAGATGATTCTCATTAAGTTCTGAAACATCAGTAATCGAGCGCCACTACCTTGAAAGATAACAAAAATCTCTTTAAAAAAGTATTAAGTCTATTATAAAATTAAACAATTAGTGACTTTTAATTTAAGAGAAAACATGATAAATAAGTTAAATTAAATTAAATGATTAAATGAAGTTAAATGAAGTTAATGAAGTTAAATGATTAAATCACTGAAAAGGCATAATTAAATCACTGAATATTAATTTATGGCGTTCAAGGGTGGGTAAAGAGTAGAGAAAAAATTAAAGATCACCAACACTCATTCTTTGTCATTTAAGAATATTGTACACCAGTCTACCAAGTTATGATCAAGGACTATAAATAATGTAGGTACCATGTTTTATTTATTAATGATTAACTATACCTAACTATCACTACTGTAAAAATATTGAAATAGAAGAAAAAAGTCACCCATTAGTGTTAAAAGACAAAAATCTTCACTCTTTTCTTACCTTTGAAAAAATATGATACAAGCCTACACATTTTTTTTTTTTTAATTGAACCTATCCACGCTTCCCCAAGATACTCACTTTTTCGACATATAATTCCTTATTATGAGTTGTAAAAAATAAACAAACATTATGATGTTGAAAAACCAATGAACCTCCAGTTTTCTGAATTTGTAGAAAAATAAATGAGGTGCCATAAGAAATTTTGAAGATTTTTAAATAATAGCCTGGCAGGGGTTCACCTTGTTTAAAAAATAGATTTTAACGAGACAGGATTCAAAGCCTCGACTCATGATACTGTGTCCTGGCCGGAACGATATCTTCGAAGACCACCCAGTAATCTATCTGCCTCATGGTCAATTCTACAAATAGTAACAATGCAATAATAGATACAGATTAATGTATAAGTTGTGTTTTAAGGAAAAATTCAGCAAAATTTTTTGAAAAGTTTTTTTTCCATTTTATGTCTAAGACTATCCACAGAGTAAACATACTCCCCAAGAGTTATCCTTATACACCAGCTGAGGACAATTTTAAATTAAATCAATGTTTAGTATCGTTTAGGTACTTTGATATCTTTCATTTACTTCTTGGTATTTTACCAACTGTAATTAATATTGGCCTGATAGACCATCTATTTGTAAGCTAATTGGTATTATAACCAAAAAGGATGTCCTGCTAATTTGTCCTAAATAAGAGAAAAACCAATAATCAATATCATTGCACATGAGCGCAACGACTCATCAAAACAGAGTTAAGATTTTACAATAGAACAAGAATTTTACTTGTAGTATACAGCAAAACTGTTTTTATGTTTGTTTGTTTTGTTTTTTTTTTTTTTGACAAAAAGGTTGACTATCTTCAATGCTAAACATATTAGTTAGACTTAGTAGGCCTAAATTGATTAGTAGCCACTTTTACTAATTATTTCTAATATTGAAATCAGCTGTTTTTACTGTTTACCAATACAAATGTTATTGAAATATGCATTAGCTAGCTTTGTTGTGTTTTTAGCTCGAGATGCATGTTTACATAAACATAAGTAACATGACCGATTTTCTTTTCATATTATATTTAAATAATTAATTAGGAAATTAAAAAGTTTTAATTTTACTGAGGTCTGTTATTCTGTGGGTATTTTTGTGTAGTGATGAAAAACATCGTTCATCACTTGTACCGAAAGTGATTTTCCGACACTTGCTCCAATTATTCCCCTCCTCGGCCTTACCTCACACATGAAATTTGGTGTTCATGAAACTTAAAAGTGTGCAGCGGAAAATGTAACTTGTGGTACTAATAATGAAATATACTATTCTAGGAAGATAGTTTTATAAGATTTGAATTTTCAGCAATATTTAAAACATCAGCTGTGTTTTAACACAATTCATTGATTTTTACAGATTTGAAATGGTTTGGCTAAAGTAGTAAATTTAAGAACTTTTGTTGAGATTTGATATAGAACTGTTTTATTTTTTGTATAATTTTTGTATGATTCTTTCCTTTTAGGAGGTGTATCATTTTCTCTAGTTGGTCTGACGATAACATAGCCTTACTAATCAATGTGAATTAATGGCTAAATAAACTACTTTTTATGTCTATTATTATACAAAGGAAATGACAAATTAAAATAAAATTAAACTTACCACAAAACTTTGGAGTAACCACAACAAACATGAACACACATGCACCATGCACAAGCTCCAGTCCCAAACCATTGCTCAAAGCTACATATAACACTTATTTAACAATAATGTTTGGATTTGTTGTAACATTGTAAAAATTGACGATTGATCCTCGACTATTTTGTTGTAAAATTGTAAAAATTTACTGTTGATGCTCGACCTTTTTTTGAAACATTGTAAAATTTTTAGGGATGGACGGGTCCCGAAATTTCGGGAATTTTTCGGGAAAAAAATATTCCCGATTATCGGGACGGGATTACATTTGACTCGGGAATTTTTCGGGACGGGATTTGGTCCGATCGTCGGCGATTTTTCCGCTTCGCGAGTGCCGATAACGCCGTTATTGCGAGCGATAGGTCCGCAAACGCAGGAGACGAAGTCATACCGAAGATCGCGCCGTGACCGCGAGTCATGACGACGATCGCGCCGTGACCGCGGAGTCATGCTGACGATCGAGCCGTGATCGCGAGTCATACTGACGATCGCACCGTGACCGCGGAGTCATACCGACGATAACCCCGTGACCGCGGAGTCATACCGACGATCGCGCCGTGACCGCGAGTCATACCGACGATCGTGCCGTGACCGCGAGTCATGACGACGATCGCGCCGTGACCGCGGAGTCATGCTGACGATCGAGCCGTGTTCGCGAGTCATACCGACGATCATGCCGTGACCGCGAGTCATACCGACGATCGCGCCGTGACCGCGGAGTCATACCGACGATCGCGCCGTGACCGCGGAGTCATACCGACGATCGCGCCGTGACCGCGGAGTCATACCGACGATGGCGCCGTGACCGCGGAGTCCTACCGACGATGGCGCCGTGACCGCGGAGTCCTACCGACGATCGCGCCGTGACCGCGAGTCGTGACGACGATCGCGCCGTGACCGCGAGTCATGCTGACGATTGAGCCGTGATCGCGAGTCATACCGACGATCATGCCGTGACCGCGAGTCAAACCGACGATAACCCCGTGACCGCGGAGTCATACTGACGATCGCGCCGTGACCGCGAGTCATACTGACGATCGCGCCGTGATCGCAGAGTCCTACCGACGATCGCGCCGTGACCGCAGAGTCATGCTGACGATTGAGCCGTGATCGCGAGTCATACCGACGATCATGCCGTGACCGCGAGTCATACCGACGATAACCCCGTGACCACGGAGTCATACTGACGATCGCGCCGTGACCGCGAGTCATACCGACGATCGCGCCGTGATCGCGAGTCATGACGACGATCGCGCCGTGACCGTGAGTCATACAGACGATCACCCCGTGACCCGCGAGTCCCAAGTTACTATAGGTACCTGTAAATTGTTACCCATTTTTTGTTTTTTTTAGATCAGTGCCAAAAATGGTAAAAATTGATTTCGTATGTCTTTTTTTGGTAACTGCAATACAGTACTTTCTTTTTATGCACAGAAAAAAATCCCGTCCCGTCCCGTCCCGAAAATCGGGAAGGAAATAAAAATCCCGTCCCGTCCCGTCCCGAACTAAAAATTCAATCCCGTCCATCCCTAAAAATTTTACAGTTGATGTTAACTATTTAATTTTTTTTTTAATACTGCTTGTGGTGCAAAAAAGTAATTAATAATTCCCAGTAATTAAATGTTTCTTTGAACGTTGTTAAAATTACAACTATAATAGTACTATGAAAGTACAATTTTAAACTTTTCAGACCAGTTTTTGTTTTTCATCCATTAAATTCCATGATTAAATTAAATGTGGTATACAATTTGTATGTACCTGTAAACAAATCAAAGTCTTTTGAATCTCAAATAAAAAAATTGTGCTACAAAAGATCAACAGGTGGACTGGGGGTGGAATCACCCCTACCACCCCCTAGTTTTATTATGCAATACAGAATATCAATTCTCACTCATACCTTCTTTGAATTGAGTCAATCCTTAATAACTGATCTTGAATCTGTTAATGCTCAATCCTATCCAAACTTAAAAACTAGGATGGTGTTAAGTGAATTTAAGGAATTTAAAATTTTTAACAAAGCCTTTTAGATTTTTGTGAAATAACTCCTTTCTCCCCGATCGATATCTACAAAATGTTCACACCTCTAACCAATATTTTCAATTTTGATACAAACCTCTAGTCAGTTGTGACCTACTGTTCTTTTTTCTACTGAACAGATTGTTGAGATAGTAAAGAACTGTGACAAGAGAGGACAGAGTTTGAGGGGGGGGGGGGGGGGTGGAATTGTGACAGAGCTTCTGATCTGCCTGAGAATACTAGACAGCTGATAAGTTGTTTGTTGGAAACTTTTAATAATTTAAATTTTAAAACCGACCAGTGATAGTTGATTATAGACACACATAGCTGTTTTGCTATTGACTTGTGCATGCCAACACACATTACATTTTGACTCTTCAATCGTTCAAGGATCTGAAAATGCTGGGTTGCACAAATGCCATGAGTTTTATTGTTCCCAATGTAACAAAAATATCGTTGGGAAGAAATTTAAAATTAACCGATGGACCCCAGCAGAGCGACTGACGGACCTGAACCGGATAAATGTAGACAGCGCAATAGAAAATATATTTTTTTTCTATGATGCTAAAGGCTGTCTCATGTTAAGTTGAGGCAGACTACCTGACCAGAGGGTAGAGAAGAACAATGGCTAGGCCGGTCCTTCGACGGACCCTCCCGGCTCTCGGAGTAAATCCCATTAACCACGCTTCAACGAATACTTCACATAACAGCGTAAATATATTGATTAATTGAAAATATAATCAATTCGTTATATCTGAAAATAATGTATTCTAGGTTATAAAAAAACAAAATTTTGCATGTTCGTACCATGCTAATCGGCCGACTTTAAGTATTAAAACAAACTTTTACTCTTATAACTAAGTACAATATTTAATTTTAAATTATTAACAATTGATATTCTGTATTATACTTCGTTCATAATATTTAGGTGATTTTAGGGGAAGAAATCTATCACCTCCACTTGACCCTTACCTTTAAAAATAAGCATTCGAAACGCCGTTAATGAGTGGAAACCTCTATTGTTATCAAAACTGGAGTAGGATGCAACTTGATACACACTGATTCTCCGGTTCCCGACATAGATGGTGGCTAGATTTTTTATTTAATTAACAATTACATATTGCCCTTGCGATTAATCAAACCCATTATTTAAGCCACACGGTTATAAATCTCACTTCTTTAACGTATAAAATGTAAAAATAACAAAAATATATATAATTTTGAACAATCTAAGACAAAGCTCTCATTTAATTTACATTGATAGATGCACTATTAATACAGACTTATAAATTAATTTTGTACTACAAGAGACAAATTAGCAGTTTGTTTTAATACTTCAAGTCGGCCGATTTGCATGGGACGAACATGAAACATTTTGTTTTTTATAACCTAGTTTACATTATTTTCAGATATGATGAATTTATTATATTTTCAATTAATCAATATATTTACGCTTTTAAGTGAAGTATTCAGTGAAGCGTGGTTAATGGGATTTACTCCAAGGGTCGGGACGGTCCGTCGAAGGTTCGGTCTAGCCATTGTCCTGCTATACCCTCTGGTCAGGTAGTCTGCCTCAACTTAAACATGAGACAGCCTTTAGGCACGAGCCTGGGATTGTTTTTCACATTACTTCAGGCTAAGACCTAGGGGTTGCGGCATCATCACTTAGATAAAATCCATTGGTGACTTGGCGGGGATCGAACACGGGACCTCAGGGACTGAAGTTCCGTGCTCTAACCACTACGCCAGCTCGTTCCCCATTAATTTGAGTATGGATGGATGGAAAGCCTTTATTTCAAAAGGACAAGGAGCATTATGGCTCTTTTACACTTGCATATGTTACAACATGAATATATCATTATAACATTTCCAATGGGGGTTGGAGGGTTTCGAACACTGAGAACAGAATGTACAATTTTAAATTGTAACAAACCAACAAATATAAACATCATGCAACCATGCAATATCAAAATACCTGAAATATATTTATTTCAACTGCCAAAATTTTGGAAATTTTAACCCACAACGCTCCCAGTTTATTGGTAAATCCATTAAAATTGTAAGCATAATTTTTATAGTAAAAAAAAAAAAAAATACAAATCCAAAATAATAATGGAATTAACATATTTATTTTATTTACAACTATACCAGTTTTATGTCATGGATATATTAAAACTGCAAATTAAAATGCATTTGCACCCTTTATATGGTCAAGAAAAACAGCAGGGATGTACATACATTTGAAGGGAGGTATAATAAAAGTTTAGAGAAATATTCAGTACTTTGATATAAATCTGAACACAAACCCATTCATTGTGAGTTTATAGAAACTAGGCATGGTTAGGTTATATTACCTATCCAACTTAATTGTTTAAATAACCAATATGCTAATTAATGATAAGGAAAGAACAGATTTTCACTATTTAAATACCAAAATATCATGAAAATGTAATCCTATAGCTTTGAAAAGGTCAGTTCAAAAGTTTGACATTTACAGGCATTAATAACTGGCAGTAAATGCACCCACAACCTATATTTAACCACACCCAAAGTTTATATTTAAATGTACAGACTGGTAGAAACAAGCGAAAATATGGATATTTCATAACTTGTCAACAAAACAATTTAGTCATTTTGAAAAGTAATTTCAAATTTTTGTTACTATGTATTCTCTAAATTTAAATTCACTTTTCCCGAGTATTATGGGCATTTTTTGTCTCAACAACAAATTTAAAGCAGAAATGAATTTACAACAACACAGAAATATCAACATCTGTTTCAATATTTAACAAGTAATTAATTGTGAGAAGAAAACTAATACAGCAATCCCATTCAAAACGCTTGATTGTAGATTTAACTGTTTGAAAACTGGAAATGAAACATAATAGCCTATAACTGAAACAACCTTATTCATCCAATTGGTAAAAGGAAAGTCCATTCTATAGATTTAACTTATATCACAGTAAAAGCAAAAGTAAAATTATAAATTAAATATTAAAGAAAGAAATTATAGTAAAAGCCCAAAATCAAATCCAATTTTTTGAGCTACACATTATCCGAGCTAGGCTCAGTCCACAAAGCTCATAATTTAATTAACTTTACTTACATAACAGAAAATAATAAGAAAAATTAAAAATTTTTGGAATATCAAGAGTCTTTCAAAGATATTTTTTTAATCAACCCAAAACTAATCGATAGAGGAGACAAAGAAAATACACAATAAATGGAAGAAAACTTTCAATTTAATATTTTAAAACACGAACGAAAACATTCATTTGAAAGCTTTTAACATAAATAAAATGTAAAAACTATTAACAAGTATAAAGTAAACATATTAGAGGGATAAACAAAACGTAATCGATAAAATTAGAAACATAAAAACACAATAACAATAACATCCAGCTATAAGATTGTTAGTAGTATTCTCATGCATGTACAATTAAATGCAAAATGGCACAAAGTCGAAACAAGTAAGACGATGAAAACAAAACACAAAAACTTAACTTATCCGCCTAAACACCCTAAAGCAAAGCAAATTATCAAAGCTGGGACTGTTAATAACAAAACTTTATACAAATCAACTTCTTTTGAAAACAATAATTTTAACCTTTTACTTCCACGATTTTAGTATTAAAATGATTCGGAATATGCTGCTAAATAAACTGCACTAGGCGACTAGGCTAGATTGAATTCTTTCAATGCATTCTGCATAATTGTGTCCTTCACAGCACAAAACACAAGCTTTATGTTCTCAGTATCTGTGAAAACAAGAACATGCAAGTTAGTAAGCAAGCCACAAGAACATGCAGAAACAAGCCATTTGACAAAAGAACTTAGTAAGTAGTCATTCTCATCTGTCAAGTGACTTGTTTTAGTTCCACTTGAAGTGTAAACAGTTTTCACACTCCAATAAAATCAAAAATCTCTTTGGAGCGACTTTGAAGTGATTTAGATTCTAACGTGTTATTTTCAAAATTCATGGTATAAAATGTAAATACAAATATGATTTTTTTATTCAATCAAAATTCTACTAAAAATTCAATCAAATCCACTTCAGAGTGTTTCCAAAATGAGTTTTTGGTTAGAAGCAAACTTTTACCCAAAGAGTATATAGGTACACAGAAATGCACAAACAGGCAGCCAAGCATTACAGTTTTTGGGTACCTGTAGCACATGTGAAATGAGAGTAAATGATCTTCTCGCTGTCAGGGTTCAAATCTACGAACATCCGTAGGATGAACTCCCTGGCTGCAATGGCATCTCTTTGGGGTCCTACAACAAACTACAGGCTAGCCAACATTCTAAAGGGCTACAGGGTTTATAAATACAGTAGACTCTCATTTCACCAACTACCGCTCGGATTGACTGCATTCGACTTCCTGGGTCAAAATATAGGTTGGTTTATATGTGGCCAACATTGTATAACTGGCTGGTTTAACTGACCTTTAAGAGGTTATCCGACTTAGACGAAGCTCTGTGTGGGTATGATAAAAGAGGGTGTACTGTAATTAAAGTTATAATTCAACACAAGAAACGGCGCAAACTCCATACTATAGTGGAGAATCATTTAGCAAGGGATGTTTTAGCTAATGTTTATTTACTATTAAAAACCTGAAATGTTTTACTAGTGTACAAGAATGATTGTAACAGAAAACTTAAAGGAGTTCATGTAATTTATTGACATAAAAAAATACACAAATGACTGACACAATTAATGCAATAAATTGGTCATTCAATCTAGGATGAAAATAGAAGGATTTCACTGTTTTAGATTCAAAATTGTTGCAAAAAATCTACATTGTAAAGCAATATCTTTAATATCTTAATCTTAATCTTAATAATATCTTAATCTTTAATAATACACTTGCTTGGAAATATATATGTTTTATTTTATTTATAAATAACATGAACTCACAAAAAACAACATCCAAGTTCCAAATTAGCATTTATTTTTGCTAAACACTATCCAATATTAAATTTTGTCTTGATTAGGGGCTTATGATGGCTGGGGTATCCGGTCAAAATCAATTTACATTGTAACATTTTTCAGATATATTTACCTCTAAATGTTTATTGGGAAAAATAAGTTGAATAGTGTTTGAAGACGTATTATAACTTACAAAAGCACCAAACTATACAACGCTAATCAAATAGTTATTTGAATAGGTACCAAAATATCAAACTCTAAAATACTTTACAAATTGTTCATAGGGGGGGTTCAACATTTACGAAAAGCATGGGAAAACACTCCAACGCTATCCAAAACGTCTGGTAAGAGTAAATGGACCTGTAGCAGTTGTAAAGTGAGAATAGCAAGTCCTATCTGGATCTGGGTTGGTCTTGAGGTAAATTTGGAGAATAAACTCTCTGGCTCCAATATGGTCCTGTTTGGCCCCTGTTATGGTACAAATGGTCAAACAGAATGTTTACCAAATCCCTCAAATCAAAATCAGTAGCTTTCGTAGGGTTTTTTGTGATATGCATTATAGTTCTCTGTTATTATAAGGAAAATTAGTGAGAGTAAATTATATATTTGAATTAATACTTTGTATACAAGGGCTGTTCAGAAAGTAAGGAACGTTTCGGTCTGGTGTTAGCGACCTCAGACCATCAAGTCGTCACAGCGCATGTGTCATAGTGTTGACCTTTGTTGAAATAATAAAGTTTAAACAGTGTGGCGCAGTTGAAAATCTCGCTAGTTGTGAGGTGCAGTATGTGACACGCTTTTGGTTTTCAGAAACATATAGAAATTTATTTTAAAAGGTGTAAAGTATACTGAAACCGAAAAAAGTTTTGGCAGGAAACGGTGCATTCAGTAATTTTTTTTTTCATGCCTGACCTAATACGTTAAATTGCAGATAGAATCATAGACTAAGCAACACATGTAGACTCCTCATCTCATTGTAAATTTTGAAGCCTGTTTTTCGTGTCTAGTTCATGTACATCCACACTGATCGCTAGTGTAGACAACATTTTGTTTATATTATTTTAGGGTTATTTTCATGATTTGTGCTTTACTATTTGGTTATATAACTAGGAGACCAGTTATTGTTTATGATTAAATCGTTTTATTTGGTTAAATAAGGTTTTAAATGACTTAAATAACAAGAAACAAATTGTAAACAAAACATAACCTCTACAGTTGGACGTACAGAACTAACAATAAAATTGGCTTCAGCTGTTCCATAAGGATGACAAATCTACTAAGGGAGTATGATTTATCTATGATAGAATCTATGTACTTCCCTTGATCAAATGGGAGGGTTCACTCAGCCACTCTAAAACCCTGACCTTGACTTGGTTAGCAGCAAAGTGCTTTAATTACAATAAGGAGCTTCAATTGCGAACCACCGAGTGGCTGAGTTCGCACGCAGAGGAATTTTATGTCAAAGGAATTTCAAAACTTGTCAACGGCTTTGATGAATTGAACTTCCTTAATTATTTGGGCGACTATGTAGGAAAGTAGTATTTTAGTTGCTCTTTCAAATGAACATGATAACGTTTTTTCCTCAAACAAAATTTTCATCCCATTCCAAAACGTTCCTTGCTTTATTTCTAAATAGCCCTCATAGTTCCTTTTGTTTCGGCTTGTTATTAAAATATAAAAATCTGTGACCAAAAATGCCTCAGATTAAAAATTAGTCACTTTTCAGTGACTACTGTGACAAAATAGCAATTAAGTGACTTTCCTGTTACCAATAAACTCACTGTTAAATATAGCTGTGAACATTATTAGGTAGATTCTCCGGAAATATTAAACTTTAATCTATGACATTTTGAAATGCAGATTCCTAAGGAATTTGCTCATACAACTCGATTTTTGAGGCACAACAAAGTGTTTCATAGTTCCTATCTTGAGTTTAAGATTTAAGATACATTTTTTGTTTGTGATATTGAGTTTACGTTGATTAATGTATTACAGAGAACATTTTCCATCACCAAAAAATAAGTGAAACAGAGAAGTTCACAATAGTTAAGTTCCAGAATCTGTCCCTGTATTCAGGTGGGAAAGATCCTGAAAACTTATTTCTAAGACTTAAAATTAACAAAATCACCACTGAGTATAGATAAAGCACACATACCGTCATATTCGGGGAAGTAGTCAACAAGATGGGAGTACATGATTTTCTCCTCTAATAGATCTTTCTTGTTGAGGAACAGAATTACAGAGGAGTGCTGGAACCACGGATAAGTGATAATTGTCTTGAATAAGGCTTTCGACTCTTCCATTCGGTTCTGCAACACAAATACCACATTTATAATCTTGATTATATGTCATTTGTATTTATTACATTGGATGGCCTTTAATGTTAGTAATCTTATTAATGCTAAAAGGGTTTTGCGTATAGCTCCTTAGCTTGCCTGTGCCCCGCAACGAGGCTCCTCACCTCTTACTAGCATTTTGTTAAAGTCTGGGTACATGCTAAAAACACAATTCCTTCCAAACATGAATCTTTTTACGGCCATAATTAAACTCCCAATCCCTAGCCCATTTCTGCATACTCCCCACTATCACTGCATTACAGAGACAAAGGATCAAGAAACACACAAAGGACATTATCAAGATTTACAGACAAATGGTGAATAATGTATTTTGAATTTAAAAAATAAGTTACTGAAGTCCTGTAACTATGAGTGAACAAAAAATTTTGAGTATGTTGTGTGTTGGCAAAAAAGTTTATATACAGCTGTCAAACGGCTGACTGAATAAGACAAAGTTTGTATTGACTGGGTCCAGATTAATAAGGGTTCCACAGTACTAGTTCATGTAATTAAAAAGATGAGTGCTGTCCAATGTACTGGTTAGCCATCTAAACAGTTGTGGATGCAAATCTTACCTCATTTTCAGATTCAAAAAGAATTTGGTCGTATTCGCTAAGAGCCACTAGGAAAATAATGGATGTGACGTTTTCAAAGCAGTGGATCCATTTTCTTCTTTCAGACCTCTGTCCTCCCACGTCTACCATCCTGTAAGACAAACAAAGGTTAGTGACTTGAGACATGAACCAAGGTATTACATTTTTATGGCATCACTAATGATGCCGTGCTTCTAATTTCTCCGTATTTATGTAATAGACTTCAATTTGTATCGATTAAGTATAAATGTTCTAAAGCTGAAAAATTTGAAACCGGTGTTCCTCAGGGCTCTGTACTAGGGCCACTTTTCTTTAACGTCTACATTAATGATCTTCCTATAAATATAAATACACAATCTGTTATATATGCGGATGATACAACTTTACTCGCTAACCATTCTAATTTAACAACACTGCGCTTAATTAGTCAAGAGAACATAGAGCATATGATTGGTTTTCTGCAAACAGATTATCTTGTAATTCTGATAAATCACAATATATAACAATCAGTTTCAAAACAGAGGTAAAATTTGAATCAGTTAAACTTTTAGGATTTAATTTGGATTCAAAATTAAATTGGTCATCACACATAAAATCTGTTTGTAAAAAAATTTCAAGAGTGAGGTGCTTGCTGTGGAAACTTAAGGATTTTGTTAGTCAAGAATATTTAAGATTGGCGTATTTTGGACTCTTTCAATCACACATACTATACGGTCTTATTTTGTGGGGCCACTCTCCACATATTAATGACATCCTTTTACTCCAAAAAAAGGCGGTTTGAAGCATTGCTGGAGAATGCTCAGATACACATTGTAAACCTCTTTTCATTCATTTCAGGATACCAACTATAGTAAATCTTTATATATTCCAAATTATAATACATACAAAGTCAAACTTAGATCAATTCTCTTTCCAAAAGGACGTACACAACCACTATACAAGAGGTAGGGATAAAATAGATATATTGCAGCACAGATTGTCAAAAACCAAACATTCACATAAATTAAATTGTATAATGCTTTTTAATAAGCTGCCTGAAGAAGCAAAATTAGTTTCATACAGCATTTTTTTAAATAAACTGTATGACTGGATTGTTAAAAATCCCTTTTACAAAATTGATGATTTTTTTAAGTTGTGAAATAAATATTAGATTTTGAAGAGTAAGTTGAAATAAAGCTTTTATTTTCATGTAAGTGGCCATTTAAATTTAATATATTGTACTGCAAACACTGAATCACCTTGTAACTATGTATAACAAATGACGTGTCCTATTTCTTTTGTAAATATCAATGGAAATAAATATTTCTTATTCCCATTCATCAAACCTTTGTGTACATTTTACATTGGCCATCTTTTAACGGCACTAGTTTCCCGTTACAACTCCACTATGACATATTCAAACTGGTGATCGTATTTATTTGTTATACAGGGTTCCCACGGCAGCTGATGAAAAGAACAATGATTTTTTGGACTTTTTTGGGGATTTCACCAAGCATTTTTACAATTACTTTATTTGAAATAATAATAAATTAGGCAAAATTTTTGCTGCGGTGTCAAATTTGGTGATGTTAACATACATCACAGTAAAGTATAATGAAGTACATATACCACAACAAGACACGACAACTGTTGGTTTATTGACCTTGAGTGTCAAAATTCCTGATAAAATGAAATTAAATCAACACAACACCCATATAACTCTAACCTCATTTATCATGCTCAAACATTCAACACAACTATTCTCAAATCAGCATAAAATAAATCTTCTGATCTGATTAATGTTATACTTCATTGGTAAAAGGTTAAAAAGTATAAAAAATGAGCTTTTTGTTGCTCCAAAAGATTTTTTATAGCTAAATATTGTTTGATCACCCATTTCCTGAATTCACTAGAAATTAAACATTAACAAAACATCAATAAGAATTAAAAACCACAAAAACGTATGTTAAGAAATTAGCGCTAAATAGCATAATTAAGTATATTATCCAAAGAGAAAATTCCCAATAACACAAGTAACAACATTAACAACACACTTAAAGCATGAGGTGAAATTAGCACGAAAATAGCAAAGAGAAGCAACACACACCTTTTAAAATAATTTTTTACAACAGTGGATCAGCTTAAATAAAAAAAGGGAATATCCCATATTTTATAGCAATTGGGTATTATCTTCTAATTATTGGGTCCTTCAGAAAAAGAATATAAAACAATTAACAACCAGAATTGTATTATTTAACGTGCATATGTTTGGGATGCTTTAAAATTCAAACTCTATTTAACTAGAGCCAGTAAAAACCCAATATCCTACCTAGAAAATCTGTGTGCTTGAGTAATCTTTATTACAACTCATAGGCCAAGTCCCGTAATTTTTTAAGTGGACTAAAGATTGTTATTAGTTTAATTATTAGGATCATGCAAAATACATTTTACCTATTTTGTATGATTTTATGTTGATTAGCAGATTAAATAATGAAAATAATGGTATAATTTTGCACAATATTATTTGGTTTCACCATTGACATTGGTTAATAGCAGATGGGACAAAAAAAAATTCAAGATGACGAATGTTCTGTCTACTATGCTACAAAAGCTAGTCATTTATAGGTTTTTTTTTACTATCAGAAACGTCTTAGGTATTAAATAGGAAAACATAGTAAAAAACAAAATAGGGAGATTCTACATTTGACTAACAAAGAATAGCTACGACCAAATTAAATTTTCCTTTGGGGATTTGCATTTGTTGAATTCTACTCAAATACCAATTCAAATCTCTCAAGTTACATCAAACTGAAACAGATTATTCTGCACAATACTTTGGTTCAAAACTGAGTTAATAACAAAAGAAGGTGACAACCAGGGTTCAATTTAACAGCACCCAAAGTTGTACCTAAAGATGATTGAGTCCAAGTCAAAGGGGTACTCGATGATGCCAGTGGTTGGCGCTCGAGCTCTCAGAATGTCTTGTTCTGTTGGAAGATAGTCAGGAACCTCTACTCTTGCTATGTCGTCTAAGTAGCTGAAATCATGCATTCATGCAACAACTATCCCATCATGCAATTGAGGTGAATTCGAGCAAAACATTGATCATTCTATAATGGAAATAGGTAAATGAAATCAAATTCAAACCGGAAGGAAAGGTGACGAAGTGTTGGAAAGGATTTAGGATGGTGATAAAAGGTATCGAAATTGTTGCAAAGTACCTTGTAAAAGAAACGTAGCTGAGCGGAAGAGGACGTAAAGTATCGGGGATTATTTACAAGTGACTTACAAGTGACCATGGGATTGCATCACAGCTGGAACAGCTTATTGTGCACAAGTATGGAGGATGGTAGGAACTTAGGAGAAGATTGTCCAGCACAAGAAAGATTGGTAAACAACATGTTACAGTCTTTTGGACCCAATTACAAATTTTTAAGATTTTTCCTACATATCTTAATTCAAAAATGATTTGTTTTAAACGTTCTCATTGCATTAGAGACTGATCAATGTTTGTAATTAATTCAACGAAAATGTTATAAAAAAATAAAACAAACAAACACATTGAGTAGATTAGTGCAAGCTAGTAAACAATAATCATACTAAATAATCACAGGAAGAACAAACCAGTATAAATAACCCATCAGGCATAAATAACCCATCACCTGATGCCATCTAGATTTCAAAACATTGCCTGAATCAGCAAAATAAATCCCCACTGCATGCTCTATGTTGTATGAAACATGCATAACAAATGCCCGCCTTATACCTAAATCTGATTTCCTCCAAGTCAAATGGATACTCTATGATTCCCGTGGTCGGCACTCGAACCCGAAGAATGTCCTGTTCCGTTGGCAGGTAGTTTGGCGCGGCTACTCTGTCAATTTCCATCAGGTAACTGAAGAAAAAGAACTTGATCATAACTGAGCGCAGATTGTTACAATAGCTCTGGTTTGTTTTATGAGTAACAAAACAAATGAGTTATGTTTGGAAATTTGGCATCTAGAAATCGTTGCTTTGCTGCACTTAATCCTTTGAACTTGATACTGTGCATTTAAATACAGTAGACTCCCTGCTATCCGGACTCCTTGGGACCGAGGCCAGTCCGGATAACGGTGTTTCCGGTTAAACCGACGTCCCCAAAAACTCGTTAAAACGGACCATTTAAATGCATACTGTATACAGTATTTGACTTAAATTTAGAAGAGCATTGTATTTACACACGTGATCACTGGTTTCAAATCTTTCCAACGACAACAGTCGTTTCAGAACCACTCACTTCCTGCCGATCTAGTCCAGTTATTCTGATGTGCTGATAAAAATTGTCTGGTTAAAGAGATGTCATTTCCGCCGAGTGTAGTCCGGTTAAACTGACTTCCGGTTAAAAGGTGTCCGGATAAGAGGGAGTCTACTGTATATTTAAATATCTATTTCAACTGTAATTAACAGAAAATAAACTTAAATTTATTCTTTAGATCTACCAAAAGAGGTCAACCTTAAAGTTAACGAAAAATTATTAATATTGATACTTCAAATTATTTACTAACAACTGAAACAAAATCTACATGTAAAAGTCAATAACAAGCCTTTTAGGAATTTAAATCCAACATTAGAATACTTGATTGGGTCAATAAAGTTACACTATTATCAACTCTGATTCTTGTGTAATAAATGGGTAGAAATTGGTACACAATACTGGTGTTAAAAGACACAATAGGAACTAATGAAGTACTGAGTGAGAGAGAAACTACGATTCAGAATTTCATATGAGGTCTATCAATCTAAATATAAATCCGAATTTTAATGATTGACATTCAAGAGAAATTATTTAATGGTTTTTAATTCCACATTAAATTTTGTTGCAAGAATTTGAGATTGTTTGAAACTATTCCTCTTCTATGGTAAATTCCAGGTATAAATATACAGTTATGCAAACATTTTTCTCTAAGACTGGGGAGAGACCGATAAGGAAGCGAGTTGTTTGGTTTAGTTAAGAGGACTGATTTGTAGAAAATAGGTATATTTCGGTTTTTACAGCATTTCAAACCTAAGTGAAATTGAAAAACACTAAATTTAACATCAATTCCCTAACAAGAATACAGTTTATTTATGTCTCAGTGCTAAAATTTTTTAATTTAAGCTAGTGAACGGTAAGGGACAGCAGCTACATTCCTGAACCTGAAACTCATGTGACATTTTTCTCAATTAATATACTGTCTTCAAGTAACCGATAGGCTAGCAAAACCCACAAATACCCAACAACTTTGCAAGAAGCATGAAGAATTTTCCAGTATCAACAATATTTTTTTAAACATTTTCAAAATTTGCGATAGTAAGAATTTTATCGTCTCAACAATCTTTAATCAAAAGCCATCAATAAAATAAATGTTTAAACCCAAAATAGAATTCAAGGATTGTGAACCGTACTTTTTCTCAATGGGTAAATTGAAACATTCCTCTTAATTTCTTTGTATTTACTTTAAAGTTGTCTACCTCACTCTTGACATCTATTCTCCTTTATTTGGTTACAAATGAGGTTTTATCTACCCATAATTAAAACAATACTTAAGTATAAGCTATCACTTGAATCAATGGAAATTTGAGGATTGAATATTGAAGTAGGGTAGTTTCAAATAAAGGAACACTATAGTCTACAGTTTAGTTAACATCAGTAGTAGGCTAAATCAAATATCTACTTTGATGTTGTGAAAGCTTAAATACAGTGACAAATTCTCAATCTTTGTCTTGCAGATTCAAAATTAAGGTTTGTTCAGAAAAAAAATTAAAATATTTACATAACACCAATAAAACTACATTCTTTAAATTATTACTTAGCAACACTTACTACTTAGCAGAGTCTGTGAGCTGGTATTCCCTTCGGCGGTCGTAGCATTCCTGTATTCCTGTGTCCGCCCATAGTTCCTTGATCGCTTCAACGTACGGACTTTCAAACGTTGTGACTGTTTCAAAGTCTACACTTCGGATCAATTCCGCCTTTTCCTGGAAGAAATTTTAAAAATTAGCTCCAGTACAGTAGGTAATAATTGGTATGGAGTACTTATTTATTTACACTACAGAAACTCTTGGGTACATGTATATTGTATGGTTTTTCAGTTCTCCTGATCTATCCCCTCTACAGATAAGTAAGGTACAGAGGAAACATTCAATGGTACACTTTTGGTGTCTAGCACAGCCATATTCACTGGTGTCTAAGGCAAAGTCCAACACTGACCCCCTCACCGTCATGTACTATAACGCTCATGGTGGAGGAAGACCCTGTGCGATAGGAATTTTCACACAGTACTCACCGCTCGGGCTCTTCTTTGCTTGTGTCAAGTATATTTCCAGCACAACACCAGAGCTGAAAACCCACGGTCGTCCCATAATTGTGTATCCTCCGTAGCTTACTTCTCTGTGGACACTCTTTGTGGACATTTGGGTATACTCGCTATGCATTTTCTCTTTGTGTAACACACTGTATATACCCAGTTTGTCAACCTGCTTGATAAAGCGTATACCTGCATACCTCTGCTAACTCTTATGCCTCAGTCTCAGTGCAAACCAAATACTGAAATGAATACTGTTAACTTCTAAACAGACTGCGGGATTTAAGAAAAAACCAAGCTGCCAGAAAGCAAAAGGCAACTAAAATGTTTTTTGTACTTCAAAAATGGTTTTTAAATTGTACGGTACTTATTGCTGTTGTATTTAAAAGCATTGCTCAAATGAGGGCAGCTTCAAATACTAAGTTGAGATAAAAGTAGCATGTGTCTTACATTAGACAATTTTTATCTAAAAAAAATAATTATGTTCCTAACAATTTTATGTTTCTAACATTTGACCATAACAAGGTATTTAAAAGGCAGCTTTCCCTTATCCTAGGCACGTATTTCTTTACCTGGCACTACTTATGTCATAGACTAATGTACATGAGCCGAATATTACAGTAAAACTAGATGTTAATAAGATAAACCGCTAATTGATTTTTTTATATTTTATTTTAAAGAGGTTGGCAGAATCATTTAACCATGCATTTGCCTGTCTTCACTGGCCTAGGGCCTGTGTTTGGAAAGTAGTACTCTTTCCAAGAAATAATATTAGGCCCTACCGTACTATTTATTTCCTAAATTGTTCACCAATTTTTTTCCTCCTTAAAAAGCTAAGAGAACGCAGCCTTTATGGTCCACAAACATGATTTGCGTCACTTATCTCATGCAGGCCAAAACATCAGACAATTTTTAATCGCAAACCGAGAACATTTGTGCTTAAGTTACACACAGATGAACGACAGCATTAATTTATAACACATTACAGCTATCTCCCAAAGAGATGCAACAAATCGTCTCACAACTCTTAACATGACCCCTATCAGTTTGATGGTTATTGATGTAATCTTCAAACCCATGATCTATTTTACATGAATGGCCTTTATTTAGCACACTATCATCTCTTAACGGATTTAAACTAGACTTCCTTTTTAAAGACTTGTGTAAAAACCATTTAAACGGATAATTTTTCTCAAATATCGCAGCAAAATTAGAATTGCACACACAGTAAAGATATTGTTATTCGTCCTTTTGGATTGTAATGTTTAATAATATTTAAAAATATGGAAGCCATTTAAATGTTTGCGGTAAAAGTTTCAATATACTATGGCTTCATTTTTGAGGGTTGGAACTAATCTAGCACAGACAATGAAGAAATGTAACGGTGGTGGTAGATTGTTAGACAGACTTTAAGTTCAAGACGAAACAGGTTTAACAGGTGATATAGGAAGTGAAAGATTAATACAGAAGATTTATGGTCAACGAGACTGTTCCAACAGCCACATGGAAGGATGAAGATGAAAAGGGAAGGATTTTGTTCAAAGATAAAGGTTTGACAGTCATTATAATAGAAGGTACAATATGGAGATAGAAGACTGATCAAACTAGAAGATACAACAGTCTCAGTACTACAGGGTTTTACAGTCAATATGGAATAATTAAGATAGGTCAACATAAAAGGTTTATTGGTCAACATAGAAGGTTTATTGGTTAACATAGAAGGTGTATTGGTCAACATAGAAGGTTTATTGGTTAACATAGAAGGTATATTGGTCAACATAGAAGATTTATTGGTTAACATAGAAGGTGTATTGGTCAACATAGAAGGTGTATTGGTCAACATAGAAGGTGTATTGGCCAACATAGAGGTTTATTGGTCAACATAGTCAAAGTAGAAGGATAAACAATCAATATAGAAGGTTTAACGATCAATGTAGAAGGTTCATGGTCAAAGTAAGTTTTACGGTCAACATGGAAGGATAGTCAATATAGAAGGTGCATGGTCAAAGTAAGTTTTACGGTCATCATAGAAAGTTCATGGTCAAAGTAAGTTTTACGGTCAACATAGAAGGTTCATAGTCAAATTATAAGGATTTACGGTCAATATAGAAGGTCCATCGTCAATATAGAAGGTTTAACGATCAATATAGAAGGTTCATGGTCAAAGTTAGTTTTACGGTCAACACAGAAGGATAGTCAATATAGAAGGTTCATGGTCAAAGTACGTTTTACGGTCAACATAGAAGGTTCATAGTCAAGGTAGAAGGGTCACAGCAAACATCGAAGTTTCAGTACAGTACGGTACTCACAATATTGGATGAGTCGGCGTATTGAATCTTGAGGAGGTCCATCGCCCGTATCATACTCTGCATGGCCATGAAGATGTTCTGGTAGACAAGTTTTATGAAGCCTCGTTTGTCTTCATCTGAGTAACCTGACCCGTGGATAATTCGCATCTGTTTGATGAATGTTGATTTTCCAGATTCTCCAGTGCCTGTTGACAGTACAGATACATCAGTGCTGGTGATAGTTGAAGCAATCAATATTTCTACCTATGATTAACGATACCTGTCCTCCTGTACGCTCTTATACCATGGATAGTGACTAGCGCATTCCCTTGGGAGCTAGCTACTACAATAGTCTTCACGTTAAGATCCAGGTCTGGGACTACTGCACTTTTAGTGAATTCACCTACAGGAAAATAGCTATTACTAAAATAACTATAACTATTACTAACTGTTGTACAAGTATTTGTTCAAAGTCTGGGACCACTGGACTTTTACTGAACTTCCCTGTTGATAAGTTGCTAGTACAATAATCTTCATAAGTCCTTGGTATGTTGTGAGATAGATCTGGAAACGTCATGAAATTGTTGCTATTTACACATTGTGATGGAAAAAGTAATAGTCTAGTTTTTAGCGAGGATGTTTGGGCCTGGAAGATTAGGTTCAACCTTACCAATTAATGGCTTTCGACTCTGTGATAATTCCGTGACGTAATAGGCCTAGTCCGAGGTAAGGTATAAAGCATTCCGAACTTGTCTTTCATAACAAGAGAATGGTTCATGGAAGAGAATGGTTACATCTATAAAAGAAACAAATTGCAGGACTCATTAATCCTGACGACTCTTCTTCAGTTATATCTTATTGAAAGTATTCAAATTTCATCACACTTAATCTGAAAATCAGGCAATATTAAATTTGAGAAAAGAAACAAAACATAACTTTAAATGTGTAAAACAAGTAGAGCATAATGAGGAATAAACACCTTAAAAATAACCTCCTAGAGTCTTTGTTAGCTATTTATCACCTGACTCATTATAGACAAATGACAGTTTGATAAGATAGTGACAATGAATGGATTTAGGTACCAGTCAATACTGTACAAACATGCAAGAACTAAATTTGGCCACTATTTCCTGAACAACTACTGTTTAAAGTTGTTTCCTGGATATTTAGAAAATGTATTAGCATATATAGAAATTAAATTTGTCTGTTGATTTAGCAGTACAATATTGAAGAATTTGTTTTGTGTAGTTGCTGCAGTCTCTGTATTCAGTTGCGATTTCCAGTGTAGCCAGCTAATTTTTTAGTAGATACAACATATTAGTAGATACAACATATTAGTAGATACAACATACAGTAGACTCCCTCTTATCCGGACACCTTTTAACCGAACATCGGTTCCAGACTACACTCGGCAGAAATGACATCTCTTAACCGGACAATTTTTATCAGCACATTGGTTTAACCACACTAGATCGGCAGGAAGTGGGCGGTACTGAAACGACTGTTCTCATGGGAAAGATGACCAATGATCACGTGTTTAAATACAATGCCCTACTAAATTTAAGTCAAATACTGTATACAGTATGCATTTAAATTGTCTGTTTTAACCAGCTTTTTGGGACATCGGTTTAACCAGAAAAACCATTATCCGGACTGGCCTCGGTCCCGAGGAGTCCAGATAAGAGGGAGTCTACAGCCAAAATTATAACTCTACCAATACTTATCACCATTTAAAAAAAATGTCTGACAAAAAACCCAACTCTCCAAGAAAAAATGGATATGACAACGCTGAGTACAAGGTTGTAAATGACACTAACAATACCCAATTGTTTAAATGTTTCACATGAATCATCGAAATACCATTACAAAGATGGATCATAGAATATGGTATGAATACTAAAGAGGTCACTTAGTGGAAGACATCATCAAGTTGGCCTAAACAAACACACCCTTACAGTCTTCAAAGATGAAAAAAAAGTTGGAGGACTAGCGTGACTGTAATACTATTTTAATGATGTACAATATAGAGAAAAGTAGTTGCAAACAATTTGTTGCAAATACACCTTTATGCTGGAGGAGTAGCTTGAATGCATTACTATTTTAATGGTGAAGGATACAAAGGAAAAGCATTTGCAAACAGTTTGAGAAAAAACAACAAAAGACAATAACATACTTCAACCATTAAAAAATGTATAAAAAGAGGTTGCGACCTGCTTCTACCTAATGATCAATTTTTAATGGTGGTAACAAGATGCAAACCCACAACATCACGGTCATGGTCATGCTCTTTCTGAGTCAACCACTCACTAATTATTTTTCTTCTATTATTCTGTATAAGCAAGGCATGGGAAGAGGCAGACTTTAGGTCCAGGTCAACCATATCCTTATGGATCAAAATATAGCTTTCATCATGGGAAATTTTGCAATTTTCTTCAACCTATAACTAAACAAACTGTACAGTCGAACCCCGATTAATTAAAACAAAGGAGACAAGCCGTTTTGGATGACCTATTGTTTCGGTTAGTTAAATTAAAAGGCTATGTCAATCATATCAAAGATTTTTCAACTAACTTAATGTTTTTAAAATTGCTGTCGTCTAAAAATCAACAAAATTATTAAATTGACAGTTAGCCTAATTTCTGATCTTTATCCATATCCCTGTAAGAGATCCAAATCGTCGTCTGCTCCATCACATTCCGTTGGTCAAGCCGGACCTACTACTTGTGCCACCACAGCCAGTTCCTGTCACCCAGCTCATTTCCTAATTGTTTTGAATTTGAATGATGGTTTTGAATAACCCGGGTTATGGTTTAACAGGATGCGGTTAAAAGATGTTTTACTGAGCTTAACCTTTAAGCTGACTAACTGTAATTAGCCTACAACTAAACTGACTAACTGTAATTAGCCTACAACTCAAACTGACTAACTGTAATAAGCCTACAACTCAAACTGACTAACTGTAATTAGCCTACAACTCAAACTGACTAACTGTAATCAGCCTACAACTCAAACTGACTAACTGTAATTAGCCTACAACTGAAACTGACTAACTGCAATACACCTTCAACTAAAGCTTACTAACTTTTTATCCAGACCAGTTATCATACTGTTTCAGCTCATCCAAGAAATTCTCTGGAAATTTTGACTTGACATAATTCGGTAAACCCAAGGATATCTCTCCTTGTCTACAATTTTCTTTTTTTTCAAGCTAAACCTGCAGCCATAGAGGAGTTCAAACTCACAAAAAGGTAAAAAAGATCAAAATCTCTTTGTAATTGGCAGCATTATAGTGAGCTTTCAGGACTAAAATCTCACACTCTAAACCACTAAATGTAGCCCCGCCCAAACATACATTGAAACTTGCAACTGGTTTGGTTATTTATACTATAAAAACAGTTATATTTATACCCTAAACTACCCTTAACTTTGGGAAGCGAGCTGGTCTAGTGGTTAGAGGGCGGGACTTCAGTCCCTAAGGTCCCGGGTTCAAATCCCGCCAGTTCATATAAGTGATAGTTTCGCAACCCCTAGGTATAGGCTGAAGTGAAAAACAATCCCAGGCTCATGCCTAGCGTCTTAGAAAAAAAACCTGATGTAATATGTTAATTTTAAAGAATAATACTTCAAATCCTTCCAACTTAAGTCACTGGATGCGTTCACAATCAATTTCAAAAATTGCTTTCATAGTTATTACTTGTTTAGAATGGGAAAATTGTCTTGAATGTTTGCCATTATATTAACAACAACCAATGCTGCGCTTCAAAAGACGCATTCAGAAGAAATCCTGTTTATGAATCTACAAAGCTCAAAAAACTTTGGTTTGGTTTACACAGTTGAAGTAAAGTTTTTCTGAGATTTAAAGGACAAAACTAATTGCTTAGAAAAAGTTCTTTATCAATATCAGTTGTATTTTATTGTGTAAAGTTCATCACAATATCGTTTGTATTTTATTGTATCTTTCAGTTTACATTTCAAACGTTTCAATAGCTACTGAAAGATACTTATTAAATGTCTCAAAAGAAAAAAACGTTTGTGTGATTTTGCAAAAAATTTACTTGGGATACTGAATATTTAGTTATACCAAACAAAGCAGCAATAGAGTATGATTAATGGTTTAATGAAGTATTTCACTGGACCAAGGTATACATGCTCCTGTAATAAAAAAATTTGAAATCCTTAAATTTATTGCTTTTATTAGCAATAAACTACAATGAAAGAGCAGCTTTTTACAAGTTTATTAGTGAAATTTCCCTATACATTTTTATGACAAAAACTCAGTATCAAGCACTTGAATATTCAAAACGCAAAACATTTCACTTAAACAAACATCAAATAATTTCTTGGGATTGATCATTATTCATAAACTGATCTGAGGAATCAAAGTAATTGAAATATAAATGGGATTCAGGGACAGGGAGGGATGCTACATCAATATGGTTGACCAACCCAAACATGAATAACACAAAAAGGTATTAACTTGAAATGAAGATTTTATTTGCCACATTGTATTGGAATGCACACAATTTATTACTTGACGTGTTTGATTTTCTAACAGCACTTGAGTTTTATTCTCGCAATAAACAAACCGAGAGGTATCTTGCTAAATGATTCCGAAACAATAAACATCAACGGTCGTTACTTTAGATGGTTCATATTTAATTTGGTATGAAAGTGGACTAAGTGAGTGAATAGTTTGCAAGTCATGATACACAGAATTCTATGAGTGGTTATCCTGCGTTTGAAAATAGGTCAAGTACATTTTCGCTTCTGTTTGTTTTAAGTGGGAAATAAATTACAATAATGGAGGGTAAACAATTGTTTGCGTTTACTGTTTAGTTGAGATGTATTGAAAAGAATAGTTTTATCGGTAACATTTTACATACAGTAAATTAATTACTAAACAAATCTGGATCAAATTCTTGTTAAATTTATTTGCTAGGTTTAAAAAATATATAAATTTAAATACAACAAAATATTGAGTTTATGACACTACTTTTTATGAACATAGACTACAAAACACAGTGCAAAAACTCTTAGAAATTAGACACTTTAGGTTATTCTCAAACATTTTAGGAAGGAGAATCGGATAAAATCAACTTTAAAAAATTAGAGGAGAAAGGAATGTGTGCAATTAGCAAATTAATAGTTTTGTAATATTGAATATAAAAATAGGAATAACTAAATCAATGAATACTTCCTAAGGTAC